GTTTTAGCCAAAGTCATCCCTGGCCCTCAGACCCCTTTGCAATATGGTGCCAAAGAGGTCATGCTTAATGTCCCTCCGAAACCAAGCAATATCCACACTGGACGCACAGTCTACGCAYCTTTTGCAAAAGATAAAAATGGTTTAAAGATTTATTCTGTTGGGCGTATAGGAGTGGTTGATAACCCTGATTCTAGGAAATATCTTGTTACACCAAGTAAGTCATTATCACGTGATCTTTAATATGCCAATGAACGCAATCTCGATTAATCAGAATAAAGCTTTTCATTAAGTGAGACAATCAAGAAAGAATGAATCAAGCGTGTATTTTAAAGAGCCAGGTAGCACCGATCCTGAGAAAACAATGGACAAACAATGGATAAGTCTTCCAAACAATAAAACAAAACCTAAGCTAATATAAGCATGCAGCAATCAAAAAGCAGGTTTCGATTGGTAGTGCATTTCTTATTTTAAACATTGTCTATTGTATTTCTGTATTGTTTTTTCCTTTTTTTGTATAGTCTATCTTTCTTTGTCATTTCACCAAATCCTAATTTTTGTTCTGACCGTAGTGTGCTACTTGACTAAGTCGTCAAGATAGCACTAGATGCACGCTGAGCATTACATGAAGAGAAAATTATATATGCTAGTATAATAGTAAATATATTGTAGTACAATTATAGCATTTTTCTTAACCAGTTTGCAGCAAGTTCCAGAAATCTCTACCTCTTGGTATCGGAATAGTTGAAAGTAGCCTCCTGGATAGAGTCAATAGCATCGCAGATGAACAACTGATTGCTACTTCACACTTACAGAATCATGAACCCAAATACGGTCGTCTGGGTAATAGTAATGTATGGTGTGCAGACAACGGTAAACTCAGGTACATGTCTTTTCGGTCATAGAGTACGCACTTTACAATCGAGCGAATTTGTTTTACCTATTGATCGTTTAAAACTATTCCCATGAGATTCAAAAGATAAAAGACCGGCGGCCATGTTGGAGGAATGAACAATAGATACTAGTGAGAAATCTTTTGTTGAATACTCCTCCAAGATGGACGATATGACGTATAGTGAAAACGAAAATATGAACAAGAATCCTTCGAGAAAAAGAACAAAGCCATCGACGCCATGTTGGACGAATAAACAACAGAACTGATGAGGAAGGCTTTGTCATCCTCATCCAACATGGCAGATCAAAATAATTGTAGCCAGGGAACGTTATGTTGGATAAATGAGCAAGAGAGGTTCTTCATCTAACAAGACGGCTATGACGTAATCCAACGTGGCGACTATGACGTAATTTAACAAGACGGCTATGACATAACGTGCAACATGGGAAAACGCTGGAAATATTGGGTTTACCAGCGTTTTTAAATTGATATTTTTCGTTCGTTTCAACTCTTATACGACTCTAATTATTTTCAGAACATCGAGGTTTCAAATTAACCTCGGAAACCCATATCATATATGCTCAGTGGCCATTCAGGGTCAAATCGCAGGCAAACAGAGCTGGATAACTRCTTTTAAAATGTCTGTATCAAACGACGGACGAAAATGGATTTTTCTTAGAGGACCAACAGGAAGTGACGTATGTAAATACATTTTTATTTTTATTTTTTTTTTACATGTTATAACTCCGGACAACTGTTCATGCCATTTGGTATTACAGTGCTAGCACTAAAAGCGTGAAAATTCTAACTGAACAAATAAGTTATATTATGTATATTAAACATAAAAAAAAAGTAAAGGAATTCGCATTATACAGTGCAATCTAGCACCATCTAATTACTTCACTTTTTCATGATTTTAAAGTGGTTATGTATTTTCATATGTTATATACAGCAATATGCAGAAATTCTTATCTTTTTGACTCATATTTCAACTATATATGAAATATATCAGAAATTTTGTGATATCGTTGCCAATGATAATTTCTGCATACAGCCTTTTGCAAAAATTATGAGAATTGTTGAAATATCTAAATATCATAATATCATATCGAAAGGTGTTTCAACGAACTGGTTTTAATGCTGCCGAGTTTGCTGTCAGCGTGAACAGTGCCTATCGATATTTCTCATTTAATCCTCTGTCGTACTACCGTCATACGTGTATGGGAGTTGAGTTGTACGGTATYGGACGTAAGTACATTTACCATATATGGAAATAAGCAAACTAATTAATAATTCATCAGCTAGAAATCTAACCAGGGCGGCCCTGGGACTTCTTATTGTGTTTGCCCAATAGAGTGTGAGAGAGTTGAGAGTGAATGAGAGTTTTTAAAAAGAAAGAGCTCTTATCAGTAGTAGAGTTAGTGTTTTGTTGTCATTTATCTTATATATCTAAAATATTTCAAAGACATTMAATAAATGAGTTGTTATTTTATTTGCTGTGGAATGGTATTAATTGAGTGCTGTTACTACATTTATGATTGATTGGTATTACACAACTACAGAATTGTTTTTGATTCTATATCATTCTATCGGTGTATTTCAGCTATAGAAAGATCGTTGATGTTCGACTTGGAAGAACTACGTATTCAAGGTGGGTTGAACGCCAGTCTAAAACTGTTACAATTCCTTAAAAAACAATATCGGGCATTATCAAGGTTATACTTATAATAAATAAAGTTCACGTATACAGTCATTTTGCTACATAAATATCAAWGCACAGAGCGTTTACTGAAGATTGCTTTGCTTTGTTGCTTGGTTTACTTTTTTCGAAATTTCTCTTTTTTTTATTATTAAGAAAAATACTTCAGCTACRAGAATCGACCCTTAAATATATTTGACTAATGGTTTAAATGMATTTTTTTAAGGGAGTGCYTGTGARCTAGAGAACCAGTGCCCTAAAGACACTCATTGTGTACCCAGCAATGTGATAGGGAGATACACCTGCAAATGTCCCGAGGGATACATGTCATCTGCGGGATCCGGGGGATTGGTGATAACACCCGGTACTGATGAGCATTGCCGAAGTGAGTAGTATGTCACTTCTAATCCAGTACTTGTCGTCCTTGTTGGGCTGTTCTTGCTCTTCTTGTTCTTCTTGTTCTTCGTGTTCTTCTTGTTCTTCTTGTTCTTCTTGTTCTTCTTGTTCTTCTTGTTCTTCTTGTTCTTCTTGTTCTTCTTGTTCTTCTTGTTCTTCTTGTTCTTCTTGTTCTTCTTGTTCTTCTTGTTCTTCTTGTTCTTCTTGTTCTTCTTGTTCTTCTTGTTCTTCTTGTTCTTCTTGTTCTTCTTGTTCTTCTTGTTCTTCTTGTTCTTCTTGTT